TACATTCCATCCCAACTTAATAATTATAGTAAACCCTTCCTCTACTTATAGTTTTAAATCTTTWTATTTGTGTTGTGTTTTGCCTCTGTCKCAGACWGTTCCTAGTGAATTTWAACATTTCTAYATCAATGAGTGGCGAAGTAGWTGAATGAATTTCACAGGAAAAGCTTTAAAGGATTCGAGGAATTTTTTTYCAAGTTCAMTTTCTGTTWMTTTTTAGGAYACCCTTGATGACACCCATAAAGAAGCGCTAAAATACATCTCTCTGGTTGGTTGTTGCGTTTCAATTTGCTTTTGCGCTTTGACAGTCTTGGCTTTAACTTTAACAATGTAAGAAACGACTAGACTTTTTTTTCAAAATATTGTGCTCATAATAATCGTCTGACCTAAATAGCTGGTCGAGTTCATCAATATTGACATGATCATGACGTCTTAAAGACCCACGTGCATCCGTCAACCTTTGCGATCGTTTGTTTTGTTGAAGAAATTATATGCGGTGTGAAAGTTCTTGCTGATTGGTTTAAAATCAAAGGGAAAATCGTGCAAAGGCCCTCAAATGCACATGCCTAGGTCTTTATATATATTGTACGAAAGCAATTGCATTCATCAATTTCATGTTAATGTTGTTGTTATAAAGGCGACACCCAATGGAAAAGAAGGCGCGATTTGAGACGTTCAAACTACACATCAATCTTGTWGTAGCCATTGGTCTTTCACAAATGTGGTTTGTGATTGGTTCATTCTTAGTGAACGTCAACTTGGTAAGGACTGTTTTACTTTATAATCACTTGATGCAAGTAGCATCGACGATTCACTTTTCACAAGCATCACTTGGTTGATCAGTATTCATATTTCCAGTATGAGACATCAATTAACCAAAAGGTGGATCATCGTTAGCAAATTGTCAAATCGTTTATTTGTATAGGAAATCGAACGACCTTGAGTACAATTAATAGTCACTAGTCGAAAGTTATTCGTAATTGCACGAGCCAAATAGGGCGAGTGCAATTTGAGAACTTTCAAAACATTACTGATTGAATATTAATTCCAAATTGTACCAGAAGTTGTGCGATGTTTTTGCTTATAGTACATTCAGCGAAACACACTTTTATAAGAAGTCGAACTCATAACTTTGGTTTCATGAAAGCAATTAATGTTAAACTTGTAATAACTTCTAGAGAAATCATTTCCTTATCATAGATAGTGAAAACGTGTTTCAAACCGCCAACTAATAGTTTTGTGCCCTTTGTTTAGGTGGCTTGTCGAGTTGTCTCAATCTTCACACATTATTTTCTTACGGCGTCTTTCTGTTGGATGCTTGTAGAAGGAATTAATGTCTACAATAAGGTTGTTAAAGTCTTCAGTACCAAAAAATATGGAAAGTTCTATTTTACTCTCGGTTGGGGTAGGTTGCATTTTCTTTAGTACGTTTTCAAAGAGAAGAAGATTTGATTTTAACACTTTTCTCGTTGCCTCGAGAAGCTTTTTGTGCGAGAGCTCAGCTTGGTTGATTGACATCTGCGAACATTAGGTTTTTTGCTTCACGAGCAGGAAATCTTCCTCRGTGTGCTGCGGGCTCCAGCTAAAGACACCCGAGTTATGGCTTAAAGGGCCATGGTCCTCCAGCATTCAATGCGGTCGTGTTTTATGTAGATTTTTCTTATATGGAAATGAAATGAGGTGAACTCTGTTTTAAATCAAATCTTACAATACCTACAATCATATAGCAAAAAGGTGGTAAAAATAGGAAGGTTTTTTTTCTAAAATTACGATGTATTGTTATTTATAAATGAAAATAAAATCTCAGTAGAGTTGCCAGTGGACCATGGGCCTTTAATGATTCAGCAATTTTGGTTGTTCGGTGATCAATTTTTTTCTCGTTTGGGCCCAGGCATTACATGGCATATATTAAACTAAGAGATCGAGACTTGAAATGTTTTTGGTGATATTTTCATTCTAGGTTTTCCTCTTATCATGGTGATCGTGACCTCAGCAGCCGTGTTTAACAAATATGGACCCCAGAATATGTATGTACTAATGTTATGTATAGTTATTTAACACTAATATTATAAATAAAATGTAATCAATCAAAAATACAGAATACAAATTATAGAAATACCATTTTAGAATTTTATACCATACATCCGAACAACTTTATGCTATTTTTTACACACGAAATTCATTGCGAATCAGCGGATGTCTCGAGTTATCAGTTTGATGGAAAGGCATAAGAGTATTCTTTTCATGTTACATGCTAATTATAATTTTTGTTAAAATATTACATTGACAGTTGCTGGCTTCACAAAGATGTYATTTGGGTATTTGCAGTTCCAGTAATGGTTGTGATTGTGGTAAGCTCATTTGTTTTAGGTCCTTATCATCAATAGACCTAATCGGCTAACGGTGTTGCTATGTACGTTGCCACCCAATTCAAATCCTGTGGGAAAAAGAACTTTTGTTTCTAAGAATTCACCACTTTGAAATGAAAATACAACGAACAATGAAACTTACTCCAGGGTGGTTTGAATTGGGTTGAAGCCGATTAGGTCTATTATTAAGTTTGTTTTAATAACGACTGTTTCATATTTTATTGAACAGGCCAATCTCTTTGTTCTTCTGTCTGTTGTTTACGTGCTACTGCGCAAGACAATGGCATTTACTGCCACTCCAAACAAACCAAAAGAAAACACGAAAGCCAAGTAAGATTCATTTCGATTCAAAATCATCTAACACCTGGGATACCAAAATTATCAATTAATTTGTAAAACCTTGTGAACAAAATCGATAAGCCTAAATTTTGGACAACATTGTTTATCATCATTATCATCATCGTCATCATCATCACGATCATCATCATCATCTTTTCCCATGGACTCATAGAGTCTAGTCCTTGGGTTATTATTGCCTGGAAAAAGGTATAATCAAACCTGTGTCCTGGAACTATAGTGGTTTTATTGTGTATAGACAAATGTTCCTTGATTCATGAAGGGGTCATCTATCATGGTGTAAATTGGCCTTCGCATTTAAGGCATTTATAGAGAAATTTTCGCGGATCTTCGATTTTCAGGATCTTGGGTCTTTGTTTTTCGGGTATTCGTTTTCCGGCGACCCTTTCCTGAAAGTCCTATCAGGTCATTATACACCTCTTAGTCAGTTGGGGGTGTCCACACACAAAAATCCTTCAATATCTTTCCATACTTTACCAAGCATATTTTTTTAAATAGCACTTGTTGTTGTTAATGTGAATTATTTGAAATGCTTTCCTATTCCTTTAAAAGGCGAACTGTTAAGATCACCGTCGTTCTACTTCCYCTTCTTGGACTTACCTGGGTGTTCGGATTCCTGGCCATCGACAAGAACTTTATTGTCTTCCACTACTTGTTTGCAATCATCAATTCATTACAAGTAAATAGACTCATGTTTGATTCATTTGTGTGTGTTTGTTTTGATGTTGTTGTTTTGCTTTGTTTTGTTTTTATTTTTGCTGTTGTTGTTGTTTTTTTATTAAGCTACAAGCACAAGGGGTGAAAAACAACTTTTGGGATAAGATAGTATCAAGAAGAGATTTCATTAATTGACTACATCACATGATATTCGTGCAGAGTTAACTTAATGGAATAATTTTGATTTTACGACTTTTACGTGCTTTATCGTCTGAAAGTAAATTCTTCCCGTCTCTCTACACTTCACTCACTAACCTGTATTAGAGGGACGTTAAAGAACCCACACCACTGTTCGCATAAGAGTAGGGAATGATTCCCGGTGTGTGTGGCTAGGCCTTACTACTAACCAAGCTAACTCATACTAATTACTAACCCCTCATGATTGTAAGCCGCGTGGCTGCCAATTGCGCCTTAAAAAAAACACAGGGAACCCGCACGAATGACATACAATTCTTTGATATGAATTTTGATTTTACGACTGTTACGTGCTTTATCGTCTGAAAGTAAATTCTTCCCGTCTCTCTACACTTCACTCACTAACCTGTATTAGAGGGACGTTAAAGAACCCACACCACTGTTCGCATAAGAGTAGGGAATGATTCCCGGTGTGTGTGGCTAGGCCTTACTACTAACCAAGCTAACTCATACTAATTACTAACCCCTCATGATTGTAAGCCGCGTGGCTGCCAATTGCGCCTTAAAACAGCGGTCCGTGTGAAATGATCTATACATGTGAAGCGCCTTTGAACTCAGAGGATATCGGCGCTATATAAATACCACATATTATTATTATATTCTTCTTGTCATTTTAGGGATTTTTCATTTTTATCGCACACTGCTGGATCAACGAGTCGGTAAGACAATGTCATGCCAAATATTTACATCTAATTGCCAAAATGGCTTCATACGCTGAAAGAAAATTTGCACTTTAGTAAAAAAAAGACAAGAAGATCACTAAGGTTGACCGCTTTCTTTTGTCTATTCAATGTATTCATTTACAAAATACAAAATAAATGCTCTATTTCTCTATGACAACTTTATGGCAATTATTAAAGCCGTGTTAAACAAATTGATGATTTCCAAAATATACAACCTATTCAAAGAAATGCTGACTGAGATGAATGATAAATGGAATTGACAAACAAAAATTACAGAACCAAGAAAATGTATATATGAGATATCAAAGATAATATATATTGTCAGTAATGTCTAAGGAAGACTTTGCGGTCAGAGCGACTCCTGGCCGTAAATTATTTAATTTACTTTCATTTTGACTAACTTAAGGTAGGTGTATATATCGCTATCAGAATTGTTAGGGAAACTAAGGTGGCACTAAACACTAAACACTAAAAAATTAAATTGTCATGATAATTTTCCACTAGCCATTTTCTTTATTTGTTTTTTTCCGTTTTCTTGAACGAACTATCTGAAAAATACTCATTTTCCTCTTAAAATTCCAAATTATAAATCTTTATTCGTCAAGTCCAGCGCCTGCCTATAAAAAGAAAAAATATATTGTACAGCTTAAAACTTTTAAATTAAAAGTTAACCCTCAAATTTCAGATTCGCAGGGCTTTGCTGGAAAAATTACCATCACTACCACAATCTCTTAGCAAGTATCACTCCAGTACCAAGTCTGGCGGAGTTGGTGGTGACGGCGATGGCCAAAAACAAAGTCAAATAGAATCCAATGCCTTTGATAACGAAACTTGCAGTGCATCTGTTCCAATGCCTGTTCATATCACAATGTCAACTGTCCAGTTGTTGAATTTGAGGAAGAATTCGCCTGAACCTCGAAGATCTGAAGCCATTAATGACTGTATGGAGCATGTCAGCCAACTCCCTAATTTTGCACAGTGAGGGCTCTCGGCACGAGGACAATGTTTTAAAATATATGTGAATAACAGTTTCTTAGCTGTTGAATATATCGTCACATACTAAATATATCACCGAAGCCTTACTCAGAACACTTTCAAAATAAATGTAAATACTTCAGCCTTTAAGAACTACAAACATATAGAAAATCTGTGCCGTAGCAAAACTTAATATCTAAAGAAGCGTGCAAACACAAGCAACATTTATTTGTTGAATTTATTTTTGCACAAGACTCAGTGGCGTCAACAACGCGAACAACAAGCCCTAATGGAACAACTGGTTGCTCAATAAAAAATTCGATATTGCTTTGTACATTTGCAAGGCTATTAAGAATGTATATAAAATATAATAATGTGGCGCACTGATTAGTTCAATCAATAATATACTCTAATGTTATCGTTGTTAAATGGGAATAAATAAAATATTAGTTGTATATAACTTAAATGTACAATTAGAAGTAATGTTATCAATTCTGTAACCGATTATAAAATGGTAATTTAATTGTACAACCTTATACTATAAGAAGTTTAATTTATGCTTTTTATCGAAATCAATACCTCTCCTCAAAATGCGCCGTTAAGTTTAAAGTAATGATTAAGTTTTTGCCAATGGTAAAGGAAAACAGCAATTCTCAAAGTACTCAAAGCTTTGTTATTGCAGCTGTGAATACTGAGTTAGCAAAAGTAACAGCCTATCTATATCTGTCAGACGAAAAAAGTAAAAAAAAGTTAATCCACTGCGTACAGTGATCAAAGATGCTAAAAAAGCAGTGAAAGGACTGGCTATAAAATTGAATTTCAATCATGCTACTGTGTTTCCTAGAGTCGAATCTAAACTATGGAAGAAGCTAAATAGCGGGTAACAACATATATAACCAGCTAAGCATATATTCAAGTTTACCTGACCTCCTCTAAAAGATGGGCAAGTCTCCTCACTAAGAAGAAGATGATCTTCCGGACGCTCGACTGAATTCAATTTCTCTTTTATTGAAACGTTTTCTTTTATTTGTCAGCACCTTTTGTACAACTTTCAGATGAATATGAAGAAAAGTGCAGAACATCCTTAACACAAATGCTTTATCGCCGAATTCTCCTAACAACTTAAGGGCACACATTTCAAAGGACAAAGAAAAAACAGGTTTCATTACATCACAATTTACTAACCTGAAGATTCAAAGCCTGAATGAGAAAATACTTTGCTGTTCAGATAAGATGATATATTTTTGTTCGTTTTCRACATAATGTCGATAGTTTGTAAGAACGATTGAATACATCGATCAGTCCATGAAAATTCTTTACAATTCTCTTATTACTTAGTATTCTCTTGGTTAATTAGATCTCGTCATTGTCTGTGCCAACTGTGGAAATACAGCGTCCACAAAGTATCCTTGTTGACACGATCTTCATTGCCTTTTTTAATTCCCTTATCCGCCACGARTACAGCAAAGGGTTTATGGTCGCACTAAAATACATTAATAGCTCTGATGTTAAAAAAAATGTCATTAATTGAACAGTTCTCTGGTTGTCTCCTTCCAGTCCGTACAAGGCAGCAAAAAATGAAGCTACCAGGAAAGGCGTATAACTTGTCAACAACAACACGCACACAATTACAAATGTGTTCAAAACCTTTCGATATTTTTCTAAGTTCAAGTTTTGTTGATTGGTATTATTTAGTACCATCTCCGAAGCTGATCTCCATAGTTTATAATATGCTAATACGTAGAAAACGATAATGGCAAATACAATCAAAGAGCCAAAAGTAAAAATAGCTAGGAATACTCTTTTTTGACTCTGTGGAGCAAATTCAATGGAGCCAGACACAGAAAAGCATACAAGAACGACCCAGCTCATAACCAAGTACACCTTAAAGCATCTCTTCACCAATTTGTTGTCTTTATATCTTGTTTTCAATGTGATTGCCAATAAACGGTCAACACTCATCGCTACCAATGTACACATAGACGCCCCACAGAGGAGATATGCAATCGACTTGCTAACTATTAATATTATACAAGCAGTTGAGGTCCACTGTCCATTTTGCCAGTTTATCTTGATTAGGATTGTATTTGATGCTACAATTACCTCTCCAATTACACCCGACAGCAAGTCCGCCAAAGCAAGGTTTGCCATGAGAATGTAAGAAGGTCTATGAAGCGAAGGCGTCTTCCAAATTGACAAAATGACCAGAAAATTAAGGCATCCAGAGGTTATGCCTGTAGCTATTAAGAAGCAGGAAAAAGGGATATGATATGTTGGAGGTAACGATCGAANCTCAATTTCCTCTTAAAATACCAAATTATAAATCTTTATTCGTCAAGTCCAGCGCCTGCCTATAAAAAGAAAAAATATATTATACAGCTTAAAACTTATTAAATTAAATTTCAGATTCGCAGGGCTTTGCTTGAAAAATTACCATCACTACCACAATCTCTTAGCAAGTACCACTCCAGTACCAAGTCTGGCGGAGTTGGTGGTGACGGCCAAAAACAAAGTCAAATAGAATCCAATGCCTTTGACAACGAAACTTGCAGTGCATCTGTTCCAATGCCTGTTCATATCACAATGTCAACTGTCCAGTTGTTGAATTTGAGGAAGAATTCGCCTGAACCTCGAAGATCTGAAGCCATTAATGACTGCATGGAGCATGTCAGCCAACTCCCTAATTTTGCACAATGAGATCTCTCGGCACGATGACAATGTTTTAAAATATATGTGAATAACAGTTTCTTAGCTGTGGAATATAACGTCACATACTAAATATATCACCGAAGCCTTACTCAGAACACTTTCAAATAAATGTAAATACTTCAGCCTTTAAGAACTACAAAAATAGAAAATTTGTGTCGTAGCAAAACTTAATATCTAAAGGCGCAAGCAACATTTGTTGAATTAATTTTTGCACAAGACTGTCGTCAACAACACGAGCAACAAGCCCCCATGGAACAACTGGTTGCTCAATAAAAAATTCAATATTGCAAGGCTATTAAGAATGTATATAAAATATAATAAATGTGCCGCACTGATTAGTTCAATTAATAATATACTCTAATGTTATCGCTGTTAAAATGGGAATAAATAAACTATTAGTTATATATAACTTAAATGTACAATTAGAAGTAATGTTATCAATTCTATAACCGATAAAATTGGAATTTAATTGTACAATGAGAAGTAACACTTCCTTGAACTTTAAACTATAAGAATTTCATTTATGCTTTTTATCGAAATCAATACCTCTCCTCAAAATGCGCGGTTAAGTTTGAAGTAATAATTAAGTTTTTGCCAATGGTAAAGGAAAACAGCAATACTCCGATTTCGAGTTCTGGTTTGCTCTGTGTTAGCCTCAAAACCACGCAAAATATTCTTTAGTTTCATTGATAGCCCGAGAAAACGCATGGAATTTGAAAAGAAAGACAATAGAATTGATTTGAAATCTCACAYTTTTATTCTCACAATTAGGAATATTTGCGCGCAAATGAGGCTAACACAGAGCATTGGAGAATTCGAAACTGGATTATTCTCAAGTACTCAAAGCTTTGTGATTGCTGTGAATACCGAGTTAGCAAAAGTAACAGCCTATCTATATCTGTCAGACAAAAACGAAGAAAAAAAAAGTCAATCCACTACAGTGATCAAAGATGCTAAAAATGCAGTGAAAGAAATGGCTATAAAATTGGATTTCAATCATGCTAGAGTAAACATTAAATGTGTGCAACACTTTCCACTATTTACTGCAAAATAGTGTTAATTAAGCAATAGAAAACAATAGAATTAGCATAATTTAGCAGTATTTAGTGAGGTATTTATGTTGCACAGTTTTAGTGTTTGTACTCTACTGTGTTTCCTAGAGTCGAATCTAAACTATGGAAGAAGCTAAATATCGGGCAACAACATATATAACCAGCTAAGCATTTATTCAAGTTTACCTGATCTTCCCTAAAAGATGGGCAAGTCTCCTCACTAAGAAGAAGATGATCTTCCGGACGCTCGGCTGAATTCAATTTCTCTTTTATTTAAACGTTTCCTTTTATTTGTCAGCACCTTTTGTACAACTTTCAGAGGAATATGAAGACAAGTGCAGAACATCCTTAACACAAATGCTTTATCAGTCGCCGAATTCTCCTAACAACTTAAGGGCTTACATTTCAAAGGACAAAGAAACAGGTTTCATTAGATCACAATTTACTAACTCGAAGATTCAAACCCTGAATGAGAAAATACTTTGCTGTTCAGATAAGATAGTATATTTTTGTTCGTTTTCGACATAATGTCGATAGTTTGTAAGGACGATTGAATACATCGATCAGTCCATGAAAATTCTTTACCATTCTCTTATTACTTAGTATTCTCTGGGTTAATTAGATCTCGTCATTGCAATTGTCTGTGCCAACTGTGGAAATACAGCGTCCACGAAGTATCCTTGTTGACACGATCTTCATTGCCTTTTTTAATTCCCTTATCCGCCACGAATACAGCAAAGGGTTTATGGTCGCACTAAAATACATTAATAGCTCTGATGTTAAAAAAAATGTCATTAACTGAACAGTTCTCTGGTTGTCTCCTTCCAGTCCGTACAAGGCAGCAAAAAACGTAGCTACTAGGAAAGGCGTATAACTTGTCAACAACAACACGCACACAATTACAAATGTGTTCAAAACCTTTCTATATTTTTCTAAGTTCAAGTTGTGTTGATTGGTATTATTACGTACCGCCTCCGAAGCTGATCTCCATAGTTTATAATAGGCTAATACGTAGAAAACGATAATGGCAAATACAATCAATGCGGCAAAAGTAAAAATAGCCAGGAATACACTTATGTGATTCTGTTGAGAAAATTCCCAAGAACCAAACACAGCAAAACATACGACACCGACCCAGCTCACTACCAAGTACACTTTAAAGCATTTCTTCACCAATTTGTTATCTTTATATCTTGTTTTTAATGTGATCGCCAACAAACGGTCAACGCTCATCGCTACCAATGTACATATAGAAACAGCGCAGAGGAGATATGCAATCGCCTTACTAACTATTAATATTATACAAATAGGTTGGGTCCACTTTCCATTTTGCCAGTTTATCTTGAGTAGAATTGTATTTGATGCTACAATTACCTCTCCAATTACACCCGACAGAAAGTCCGCCAAAGCAAGGTTTGACATGAGAATGAAGGAAGACCTATGAAGCGAAGGCGTCTTCCAAATTGACAAAATGACCAGAAAATTAAGGCATCCTGAGGTTATGCCTGTAGCTATTAAGAAGCAGGAAAAAGGGATATGATATGTTGGAGGTAACGAACGTAAATGTATGCCATAATGGCACATGAAAATAGACTGATTTACCATACAAGGAAAAGGTACAATGTTTTGTAGTGAAACTACATTTGGGTTTGTACATTTCAAAATCGA